CTGTTGAAACAGCAGCCCTCTGGAGGAGGAGCAGCAAGCCTGATACCTGCTGCAGCCACCACAGTTCAATCTGTCTTATCTTTAAATGGTACAGATTGTGCTGCTCTTTGCAGTGGTATTGCCAGCTTTGAGTAGTTCCCGTGCTTCTACCACCATTGTGCTAGCAGAGCTATTAATGAGAACACGTGGTAAAGCAGATCAGGGAATCGGTCAAACTGGAAAATAGCTGTTGCGTTAGTTTTTTCAGTACAGATGTTGCCTGAACCATTTTCTGTGCAGTGACACTAACAGTTACCTTGGCAGAGCCGGGGGGAAATTAGGAACGCTGTAGGACAGGTTTGCACTGTGTTCCCACAGGCTGGCACAGTGAACATTGAATGCTTTTTACTTGTTTCTTTTAAAAAAAAAAAAATTTGTAATGTGGCCATAGAGATACTGCACTTGAAAGATCTTTTATAAAGGGTTTTCTGCGAAGAGTGCTACAGGTTTTTGAAAGGCAACTTTCCAGCCCAAAACAGAAATGTAAAACTTATGCCGTAATTTCATGATCAGTGTAAGCTGACCTGCCCTGTCCTTCTTTCCTTTCCAGAAGAGATGTGATCCCATCCGTGCATTGCTGCTCGGTTCTGCACTTGCAATACTTCCTTTTTCTGGCATAGAAATTCATGACTTGGGTTCAGAGGTGATCTAGATCAAAACGCTCTAGGTCAGACTAGTTCACTGCACAAACACTTGTGTTAGTTGAAGGGACAGGGTGGTGCAGGTGTTGGAATAAGCCAGGCAGGGAAGAACTGGCTTTCAGGCTCTGGTTACCCAGCCACTTTACTCTGACGTAAATTCAGCATGCTGACAAGAGGTAGTCTTACCTCTACCACGCCTGTGGGGCTTGTTGCTCTTCTTCCACACCACTCCCTCTTGTGTGCACCAGTCACTGAGCTGCACGATGAGCCCTGATCAGGAAACTAATCCAGTTGAAAATTAACCTAAAGTAAGACTGGCTGGCTCCTTTTAGAAGCATGTAGACTTTATATTACATTAAAGTAATCATACGTTTACAATCTCCATGTAGTATTGTTGTACATCAACTTAGAGTAGTCGTGAACCTGCAGTTAGTGGATGTTCAGAAATACAATCTGAATACACAGATAGGTACTAGATTGACAGAGGTGGTTTGTACTTGTTTCTTTTATGATTGAGGTTGAACTGGTAAGGTGGCTTCAGGGTTTGCACTGTTCATTCACAGCACTTCTGAATTTAGCATTCTTTACTTCAGTCTTTGTCTGTGCTCCACCTCATATTGCAAGTAATTTAATTGCTAACAAACATGACTTCACGCAATTCCTAATTTCTAGGGTTTTTTAAAAGCAAAAAGCTTACTGTTGTGCAAATAGAAATATTAGAGTGGTTCATACATTTATTCTTTCACTCCAGTTTATAAGGGTTCTTTCTATGCTAGTTTTCTTTCTATGCTTGATTATTTAAGGTGGTCTTTTAAAAACTTTTCTTTTTAGACTTACAATAGCAGCATTAGGAGAAAAGCTTAATGATTACTGGAATGAAATGAAAACGAAGAAAAACGAAGAATGTCCATTAGCTTTGCCAGTTGAGGAGATACAGTGAGTATCACTTCCAAATAGAATAATTTTACGTACTGTTATTACTGTTTTACAGTTTGTTATGAGAATGAACTTTTCATGTGAAAGTTCTGATATTTTTTTCCGTTACAGAAAACAGCCTGATCAGACATGGGTACAATGTGATGCGTGTCTGAAATGGCGGAAGCTGCCAGACGGAATAGAGCACTTGCCAGAAAAGTGGTACTGCTCACTGAACCCTGACCCACAATTCCGGTAAAACTAGATTTTGATGAATATCTAAGTACTACTTTTAGTTCTTATTTTATCACCTGTTATAGGCATGGATGTTAAGCTCTGTCATGATTTTTTTGTTTTGTTTTTCGTTCTTAACTCAGGAATTGTAATGTGCCAGAAGAACCAGAAGATGATGACTTAATTCATCCTACATATGAGAAGACTTACAAGAAAAAGTGAGTACTAGAGACTTTCTTACAACTGTCTCAATACTAGAAAAGGTACATGAAAATGAAATGCCCTTTTCTCTCACCTCTGGTATAGTTGCAACTCTTCTGGGAATATATCCAGCCAGAAAATAGTGCCCTGAAATCAAGACTTGATTGTAGCAGTGAATAGATGAATAGCACTGTTCTTTTCTCTGTTATTAGCAAGTTGGCATTACATTCAACTTTATCTCTTTGATGTAATACCTGTTTGCCCTCCTAAATCAAAATTAGAGTAGACATAATGAAAGAGGCCTCTCTCATTTAGTAACGAGGAAGGAGAGCAGTGAAGCAGTTGGTGTTCAAGTACAGCTCGTGAAGAGGAGCATTGTTTCATAGTAGTAAGTAGTATGAGGATAGTTTGGTATGTTAGAGAAGCAAGCTACAAGGACTGTTAGGAGACCTTGTCCAGGTAACTATTATTTCCAAGGTCCACATTGAAGCAGCTGAATACCTCAGTACATTTATTTAAGAATAAGAGGATTCTTAGCTAAGGTTTATGGAAAAAAAATTACTTGAGTAATTTTAACTAATGCTGGCTAGCATTCTAGAAGTGGGAGTTTCGGGGTTCTTTCAATTTTTAAAAATAAATCTTAAACCGAGAGAGAACTTGTTTGACATTTAAGCTGACTTTAAGCTATATTAGCTTTCAAGTTCATGCAGAAAATTTTCATTCAATAAGCCAGAATATATTCATTAGAACTTTATTGTATCTAGCTGAGATAAGGAGTATTGTGTTTACTTTCAGATTTTGCGGTTGGTTTGGTTTTGTAATGAATTAACAATTTTAATCTAAGCTCTTTTTTTTTTTTTTTCTCCCTTGTTGCTGTCCAGAGACAGGGAAAAGCTGAAGAAGCGACTAGAGTACCACCAGGTAACCCTTGAAGTTGATAGGAAACTGACTTTGGTAGAGGAATTGTTCTTGCTGGCAACAATACTGTGCAGTTTGATCGAATAGGCCAGTTGGAGTTTGCGTTAGAGTTTGCTTTAGCTAGTGGCCAACTGACTGGTTCAACATCCTGTTTTGTTGTGATGGCAGTACAGGTTATGCTCACTATTAGTAAACAAAAAACCCCTCATCTTTGCTGTCTGATGATGGAAAATGCACCATTGCTTTCTATGTAGTACTTAAGACTGAGAGGGACAAAGCCCTCTCACAAAATAGTACTAGAAAAGATGATGTTCGCTCATACCTGTTTTATGGCATGTTCTCATTACTGAAAGTAGATTTGTTGTAGAGAGACATGATGAGGATATGGAAGTAAAGATGCCCTTAAAACTGAGGCAAGGGGTGGGGACTGACAAACTTATAGTAGCTGTACTTTTGCAAGGAGGCACTCAAATTCAAATTAAATGCAAATCAACATGATTGAGTGGTGAGAATGTGTAGCTTGTAACTCGTAATCAAATTTCCTAAGTGTGATTTTAGGTTAAGTTTCTTTCAAAGTAAAGTGCTAACCTAAGGTCACTCAATCTCTGGAGAAAGATTTTTTGCATGTGCTGTTTTAACCTATATACTTCATTGTATGTTTTTTTTCTGCTATTACTTTTACCCAAGTACAAAATTAATTTCTAAAAGTAAAATATTGTTCATTTTAGACAAACTGAATTAATGATGAGTGGCTTTAACAGATGTGTCTGTCCCATACTTTGTGCATGATGGTCAGAGTTCAGACAGATTCAGCTTGGGAAAAGCTCTTGCTTACCCTGAGATTCTACAGGGTACTTTAAAATAGCTGTATCTAGAGAAAGAGTTGGAAGATTGGAAAGCTGCTTTCTGACAGCAATAAATCTGTGCATGGAGAGGAGAGGAGCGTGCAGCTGGTGCACAGGATTCAATGTCCTCTGAGAAATCTGCCAGAAGTCTGCAATTATGATATATGAGCTTGCTGCTTTCTAATACATTGTATGTCTTAAACTAACATGGAGGAGATGCTTCCCATGCATCAGTAGTTTGGGAAGAGGGGGTTGTGCCATCATTAAGTCAAGAAAACTGGAGTTTGCAGCATGGAGTCTAGTTAGCCTTTCTTATTGCAAAATACTGAGCCTGGTTCAAGAAGATCCTTGTAGTATATATAAGTGTTGGTCATAATTTTAGGTGTTGGCAGACAGTTAGGAAAACTGCTTAAACCTATTTTGAAGAATCTGCTAATGTCTTTCTTTTCATTCTTAACTAATATTATCTTATAGATCAATAATGAAATGTTTTTAAAAACACCTGTTTCTTCAAGTAAAGACTTCAAAGCATTCTCAGCTGGGACTGGAAAGGAAGCTGTTTCTAGATCACTTTTACCAGAAACATCAAATGCTTCTGTCAAAAGACCTCTGCTTATTTTAAATAGATCAGTATCTTCACCTCATTCTGATCCTGATAACAGGTTAGTGAATCTGTAGAAAGTATATTCCTATTTGCTTCTAAAATTAATAACTTGTGCTGAGTGTAGTCCCATCTTCAGCTGATGGCTGTGAAAATTTGTATGTCACTTTTGGAAGTATAGGAAGCAGCAGGTTGATTAGAGGTACGTAGAAACCATGTGAAGGACAACAGTTGAACGCAGCAAAAAATACCATCCACTGGTGAGGAGAACTGGTTAGTGGTTTGTCTATTTAGGAAAATACTATATTGTGTTAACCACATTCTACAGTATGTTTTCCTTGGTTAAGGAATGGGTGGAGGGGGGTGTTCCCATAAATACTGAGTCTCAGTCTGTTTCAAAATAATGTGTGAAGATAATAATTTACTGTGTGGATGTGAGCCACTTGTTTTTAGAGGAAGGGTATTTACTCTGGCTACACATCTTAAAATACTATGCAGGAAAACATCCCCTTGTAGTTATTGAGTAGTAGTTTTTAATGGTGCTTATAGAAACACTAAACATAGTTTGAAACAAATTACTTTGCAGTGTTTGAGCTATACAATAATCAGTTTAATATTTTGCTTTTCAGTCATAAGCGGAAGATATCCATTTGTGTGACACCTGTGTCTTTAAAGACACCTCGATTGAATGACAAAACATTCAAGAGCCATGATGATGATGAAGATGTCATAATTTTAGAGGAGAGCAGTACTCCAAAGCCTTCAGCAGATTCTGATGTTGCTGTAGTAAAAACTGAATGTATTAATTTGGATCAAGAGGAGGAGCAGAAAGAAAACTGTGGTGTTGGAGAACCTTGCAGTACAGCTACTTCAGAACCAAAAAGTGAACAGTTGACCTCAGCGACACAGACAGAGCTCCCAAGCTTAGTGGTTAAAAAGGAAGAGGTGGAAGATGACACTGATATTCAAGTTCCCAGGGCAGAGATGGAAACTGAACAGCACAATGCTAATGATGTTTCTGAGACATCTGTAGATCTTGGAAATGAACTGAAAAATCAGCTGCAATTATTAAACAAAGAAAAAGAAATGTACCAAAACAAATGTGAAGTATTAACCAAACAAGTAGAAACACTGGAACAGAGGATTTTAGAAATGAATAATAAGTATGTAAAAAAAGAAATGTGCCATCAGTCAACTGAGACAATTTCTTCATTTGAGGAAGAAAATCTTCATGAAAGAAGGTTGGCAGAAATGACCATTCTCTATGAAAATGCCTTAGAAGAAGTAGCAAAACTAAAGGAACAATGCAGTACCCTGCAGAACTTAAAAACTGAATGCAGCAAGTGTGCTGATGGTGAAAATAAGAGCGAGGTGGATGAGATTGCTGTGCAACTGGATGATGTTTTCAGGCAACTGGACAAGTGCAGCACTGAGAGAGACAGATATAAAAGTGAGGTATGTTTGTTAGAACAGTGATACCCTTCAAAGTAACAACTAAATAATTTTTTTTTAATAGTTGTTTCATAGCAGTTCTAGTACACACTGTGTTGTATAGTTCAGTCCACTAACTAATCAAACTACCTAAAAGGGGGAAGAAAATACTAAATTAGCCTCCGAGCTTCTGGGTTTTGCTTCCGTAAACAGAAATAAGCAAACTTGAGAGAAACTGCAGGGCTCTGAGTGGCTCTGACTGCAAGACAAGAGAGACTGACCAGGCTTAGAGGGAGCATGCAGAGAATGGTTCAGCTGACAGCTAGCTATTTTAAAGTTTGTCTAGGTTGTAATGTCTTAAAACCTCTCAAAAGTTAATTAAAAGCAGTCAACTTAACAAAGTTAAATTATTTAAATTTCTATAACTTGTGGTTATTTTAATCCACCACAATTTTATTTGATACATAAAATTATTTTTATTTACTTGCCAGATTGAACTACTAGAAGTGGAAAAAAATCAAATTGCCTGTCAATGTGAAGAACTCAAAGCAGAAATCTCACAGTTAAAAGCTTCAATTCCACAAGCAGTAGCATGTGCAAATGATTCTACCACCAGTAATGTGGAAGATTCTGTAAATTTTTCTGATGGAGAAAGGTATAAATTCTCTTCTTTCTAAACTATATTTCAAGCAAGATTTTGGCTGTCTGATTGTATCCAAAACATCTTGATGAAGGTCATGTTTGATAATCATATAATAAAATGTGATGTTTGCAATTCTTTTCTACTGCCTCTCGTGACTCCTAACTCAGTAACATATTTTTGTCAAACGATTTATATATTTTTTTATTATTTAGGTATTTGCGTGAGCAGGGTTGGCCATTGCACAATAGAATGCCATACTACACTTCTTAAAATATCAAAAATATTATATAATTTCTAGACACACCTCGCAGAACAAGGAGAGATAAATGAGGCAGGAAGGAGGTCAATCATTACCCTATGATGTGTAGGTGAACTTCACATTTTCTATTCTGTTTTTCTTTCTTGGATCAGTAGTACTCCATTGAAAAGAGTGTAGGTTTGGTTTTGAAACTCACCTTTCCTGTAAGAACTTCTTGCTGCAGACCAATCCTATGGAACTAGGTTGTGTCCAGAGTGTACCTTTGAACTAAATGAGGGTTTAAACTTAGAAATAGCGAGCTTGCAGCTCTCAGTTAATAGAGATGGCAAACGCACAAAATAAGTACATGTACCAAATGGCAGCAGGGATGAGCAGACCAGTAGGAATATAGGCACACTGCATGGACATGTAGGATGGAATTGAAAGCCAGCGCTCAGCCAGAGTTAAAACTGGCAAGGCCTGTGAAAGGCAACCAGAAGGGCTTCTGTAAGTGCAGCAGCAACAGAAGAACTAAAAAAAGGTGGGCCTGCTGCTCAGTGGAGCAGGTGCATAGCAGCAAAGGACATGATATGCCTGAGGTACAAATTACTGAGGTACCCAGTATCTTCTTTACCTTCTTTTTGCTGTAAGGTCTGCCCAGGTCCCTTAGCCAAGTGGTAATCTTAGGGAGTGAAGCATTACCTGTAATAAAAGGTAACTGAAGTGAGGGACCATTTAAGCAAACTCAACATAACGCAAGTCCATGCGTCCAGATGAGATGCATCAGAGGAAGCTGACCAATTCATGGAGAGTTGGCCTTGCGATGATATCCTCAAAAGGCTGTGGTAGTTGACATTCCTGATGGCTGGAAAAAGGCAGTTGTCATGCCTTTATTTAGGACAGGCAGAAGTAACCTCAGTCCCTGGGAAGACCATGGAGCAAATCTACCTGGAAGCCACCTGCAGCCCTGTGATAGTCCAGGTGATTAGGAACCATCATGGATCTTCTGAGGGCAAATTGTGTCTTTGCAGCCCCATTGCCTTTTACGATGAGATGACTGACTCTGTGGACCTTCATTTAAGCTAAGTTTTGAACCTGGGCTGCCATAATATCATGATAGTGAAGTTTGTGAGGTATGGTTTAGATAGGTAGACTAGGAGGTAGGCTGTAACATTGCCCAGACTGCTGAACTCATGGATCAGGATTGAGGCTAGTAATGGTTAATGCCTTCATTAATGGCCTAGATGATGGAGCAAAATTAATTCAGATTCATGGTGACGTCAAATTGGAGGGAACCATTGATACTCTGGAAGGTAGGGCTGCTGTGGAGGGAGCTTGACAAATTGGGAAAATGGGCTGAAAGAAACCTCCTGGAAATAAGGCAACTGCAGAGTTCTGCACCTGTGTTGAAAATACCCCATGCAGTTGAACAAGCTGGAGATGACTCAAGGGACAGCAGCTTGGAAGAAGATGGCCTGTGATGCTGGTGGACTGAAAGTTGAATGTGAGTCAGCAGTGCACTCTTGTGGTTGGGAGAACCCAGTGCCTACTGGGCTATATTGTCAAGAGTTCAGCCAGCAGTTTAAGCGAAGTGATTCTTCCTTACTATTGGGTGTTGTGAGACCAAACCTGGAGTATTGTGTCCAGTTTGGGGCTCCCTGGTGTATGTATGATAGTGGCATATTGCAGCAAGTCTACTGAAGGGCCACCAAGATGGGTAGGGGCCTGGAACATCTGATGTAGAAGGGGAAGCTGAGGGAAATAGCATTACAAAGAGTAGGTTACCTTGAAATCCTATTATTCTCTTCTGCTGGCTAATGAGAGGGTGTAGAAAAGATTAAGACAGTTTCTTCTCACGAGCACAGTGCTAGGATGAGAAGCAATAGACACAAGCTGCAACAAGGGAAATTCTGTTTAAATACTGGAGAAAAAAAAAATGTTCATAGCAAGGGTAGTCAAACCCTGAAAAAGGGACTCCATCTTTGGAGATTTTCAAAACACAAGAAAGTCCTAAACAACCTTATCTGAGTTAGCCCTGCTTTGAATGGGAGGTGGGGGAGTGGAGAGAAGGGACTGGATGATTTCCAGAGACCCCTTTCAGTTTAATTTTTCCTGTGATGAAATCCCCCCTTTATCTGCCAGCATTTCATTTTCTTCTTATAGCATCTGACTTGTGCTTCCTAAAAGAACCAGCAAATATATACAGGGCTTGTAAGTAACTTCCACCATAAGACCCATTGGGATATGATGGCACTGTGAAGACTGGCTACTGGAGATGATAAAGGAACTGATGGTAGAAGGAAATGCTCAGGAGAAGGGATGGGTGATCTGGAAGCAATTTGATCAGGAATAGGACAGAGCAAGGGGATGCAGGAAAGAAGGCAAAAAGAGGAGGCATAGCATTTTCCCTGTACTGTAACTCTTACCTTAATTTGTCTTTATTTTAAAGCCTTTGAACAAACTGCTTTTTCTTGCCTTCTCTCTTCTTTTTTTCTTCTTTTGTTCCCATATGGGGTAGTAGTTTGTGCTTCTAAATGTATAAAAATACTGGGGTTTAGTATTGTTTTGAGAAATAAAAAGGTGTTGTGGGATAAAGGATTGTACCAGTGCTTATTTGCTAACTTAAATAAAAGCATTCAGAAATATTTCTGATTTGTTTTGGGAAAAGCAGAATTCAGTTTAGTCCTTAGTATTTGTTGGAAACTGAAGGAATATACGCCTTCAAAATGAAAACTCAGGAGGCTCAGCTGTGGAAAAAATGGTAGATTTTGAAATTATCTTGACACAGCTTTAACTGCATCAGTTTTTTGTTGGTTTATAGAAGTCATGTATGGAGCCTTTCCAGTATAGAGGATTAGTCCTGCTTTGTTAGAGAAAGTGCTGTGTAGTTGAATGTAAAACTTCATATACATCTAATCATATCTAATTATTTCTTCACAGCCTGAAACTACGCTCTCTTCGAGTGAATGTTGGACAACTTCTGGCTACAATCATGCCTGATCTAGACTTGCAGCAAGTAAATTATGATATTGATGTAGTAGATGAAATTTTAGGACAAGTTGTAGAACAAATGCATGAAATCAGTAGTACTTAAGATTTTAGCAGACTCTTACTTGATCTTCCATTATAACCTTTGTGTAGGTTCAAAATTGTATATACTGCTTCTACACTTTATATATTTGACATAGTTTGATCAGTGAGTGTATATACTCTACACAGCTAGATGTTCCCACAATGCAGTGGGTGTTACCTTCACTTCCTCTTAAAGGAACGCTGTCAATATTGACCAACTCTGATGTACTTAATTAAGGATTTTGCTTTTAAAATGTATTTGTAATTAAATTTGCAAATATTTTTATTATTAGGAATCTCGATACTTTTCTACAAAAGTTTTTTTGTTGACTTTTGATCTTATATAAGCATCAATACCTGCAACTACGTCCTCTTCTAAAGTCTAAGTAGTGGAATATATTAAAGATGCAAAAACAGAACCTTCCTTGATTTCCTTCTCAGAACAAACCTTAGTAGTGTTGTTGTATACTATAGTATTGTTTCATTGCTATCAGCAATGTTGTATGTTGCATTAACGAGACAGAAATGTAACTAGTAGATTAAAATTTTGGCCATATGGGTAATACTTGTGTTTTACTACCAAAAAAAAAAGAAAAATTCTTTAAGGGTTTTATCCTGAAAACTGATGATCTTTGACTCTGTTTTGTATTTTTTTGATGTCACTAAAGAACATTATCTGTACATAGTTTTGCAGCATAAACAATTCCATGGGATATGGCTAAGATATTTCAGCCCTTTCAATTGATGGAAACCACATGCCTGTTTGTGTCCTGCCCTTGCTCCTTGATTGTTGTTTCCTACATCTGAGAACCTGTCTGTATTTGAGCACAGTCAGAGGGATCTTCAGTTCTGCCCTCTAGTTCCCCATTTGAACACAGCAGTGCTGGTGCACAAGTCCAGGTATATACCAGTATGTACCAGTACATGGCTTCAGTGGTCAGACTTTGCACCTAGCTCCTGCCTACTTTTTTCCAAGTCAAAGGCAGCTGGTGGAATGAGAAGCATCCTGGTGGACCATTGGAGAGAACAAGCTGAGGTGGCATATCCAAAGCTAGGGTAGGAGTTGGGCAACAAGCTGGGCAACCTCTGCTCTGCCTCAAACAGCACTTGTTGAGCCCTGAAGGCCTTTTTTCAGAGAAGCCCAGTGCTGAAGAGGGTTGATATAGAGGTTCTGTGATGTATACAGATGCTTATCTCAAAAAACAAATCGTTGCAGTATTACACATATAGTCTGCCTTGGAGTCTTTCAGGCTGAGTTGCAAGGGTGCCGAGATTTGTCTCCAAGGCTTATCTTCCTATCAGAATGTATCATGCTGAGTATGAAGAAGTCAGGCTTCTAAATCCTCGATTAACTAGTTGAACAGGACTATGTTGAAAAGGAGGTGGTGTTAACTATTACAGAGGGAGCTAAAGCTGAAAATGTTTGAATATAACTTGTTTATGCTATCTTCAAGTGTAGCCACCTTTTATTATAGGCACAATAGGGTCTCTCTTCACCTCCACCCCTTTTTTTTTTTTTTTCCTGTAAATGTTTTATAATGACTCTTAAGCCACTAGTTCTATGCTGTAATGCCCATGGAAAAACTTCCTGGAAGAAATGGTACAGAAAGAAATCACTGTTACAATGATGACAGTATTCTCAGCCAATTAGGTGTTTTTCTTCTGAAGTCATCAGGAATTAGAAGAGAGGCAGCAAAGAAAGCAAATCCATCTTTTACTCTGTGGTGGTATTTGTCATCCAAACAGTGATCAAGAAAAATGGTTCTTGCTTTTAAAAAACTCTAAAAATATGTTATTTTAAAATAAATCATGAAATAGCATTCAATATGTTCATTCCTAGGAAGTGTCTTTTTTTTTGGAAAGCCAAAATTCTTGGCTTTTGCACTGCTACTGTCCTGATTTAATTGGATTCTGTTCCTTTTAGTTGTAATTCAGCCAGGTTTTTTTTCGATGGACAGTATTTCAATTTTAAGATGCTATCTATTCTAATATGCCAATAAGGGTAATACAATACTGTTGTACTTTATAATGGATAAATTGAATGTTTGATTTTTGAAGAGGTGGCTGTAATATAACTGTTTGTATGACTTTTAAAAAGTTTATCTTTTCCATTTATTGGTGTGTAGTTTTTCATTTGTTAATCATTATTTATTATGTTTCATCAGACTGTAGTTGAATTTCTTATAGACAACTGGCAAAATATAGCATATGTCTATTAAAAATGACAAATTTACACTGTACATTTACACTTTTGAAACCAGTGGACTAATGGAAAAGGTTTTTATTTACTTGTTAAAATGTATTTTTTGTAAAAAAAAATTTAAAAAACATATATAAATCTGAGTTTGCTGGATCAAAACTTATATGTGATCAAATACAATGTTTATGCTTACAAATAAATACTATGCAGAATGGCTAATGTTTCTGGCTTGTTTTAAGTATTTGGTTTTACAAGAAAGCTGTCTCCGTCTGGTTTTGAGCAGAAGACTTGGGCACATCACGCATGCCCTCAGACCAGGTAGGCATCCTGACCAAGCCCCACACCAGCTGGCTGGCTGTGCCGCTTCAGACGGTCGGTTTTGTACAGGGAATTCTGTTACCCAGTTACAAGACGGATACTGTAATGGAATTTGTGACAAAACTTGTTTTTCAAGGCCTTGTCAGAGAGCTGTTGTCTGTGGTACGAAGGCAGAAGTGAGGGAACGCAAAGGTAAGAGTTAGGGGGGGTGGGACCACCTACCTCTTTGGGTGACAGTAAGCTCCTCGATCAGATTGGATCAGATCAGCTCTCATGGTGAGATTGTACTGAGGCTAGTTGATCAGTTCCCCAGCGTGAGAGACTCAAGTTCTTTCGGATCTTTTTGTGGCTTTTTGGTGGCTGAAAGCAGACCATTTTTCCCTAACAGCCACTCGATCATCTAATACAGACAACTGATGAAGAGACAGCAACGTGCAAGGTATTGCTGTGGAAAGGGTATGGAAATATTCTGGATGTGGAAAAAGCAGTGCTGTTACAATCCAGGATGTGTGTGAACTGAATGTCAAGGATGTTTCTGGTTTTAATATATGGGTTTACTTCTGTTACCTTGTATTTTAACCAGCATATGTACTCTGCAGTGTTTACATTATATTACTTAGATGTGTTGCTTATTTAAAGAATGCACTGTATTGACATTTATCGAAGACAAAAAATAATGAGGGGAACGAACAGTAAAAGAAATTAATCAAGCTGAAGGACTTTGTATACTCTAAAATAAGTACTTAGCTGTCAGATAGAAAAGACTCATGACTGTTCACAGGAACATCTTTATCCTCATTAAAAATTTGGCAAAATTAGAATAAACACTTGCTGTCTTGAGCTGAATCAATACCTTAAAAGGACAATGAGAATGAGTATTTATCCCCAAAAGACCTCCACGACCCTCGTGCAGTCACAGAGGACCTTTGCTGGCATAGCATTTTGGAGTGTGCAAGCATGAGAATTCTGGTTTTGCAACCTAATGAATATGCATTAGATAGGAGGAATAATTGTATTAGGTAGGTGGAACTTTGTAATCTTTTTGTATAAATATTCCTTGACAGTGTGCTAGTGCTGTGCTAGATTGGTGGAAGTTGCCCAGCGGACACCCAGTGCTGAATAAAGCAATATCCCCTCTCTAAGCTGTCTTTAGTTTTGAGACTCCTTTATTTCAGGTACTGCTTCCACGCTTTCTGCTGTACGAGTGCCACTGCAAATTGAGCGCAAGGACTTGCACTGTCCTGGCTCTCCAAGCCTAGTCCTACTTTGCATGGAAACCCTCATTGGCCTCTACTTCGAAGTCCTCTTTCTTTTTAAAAAATCAAATTTTTAAAAAATTAACCTGTATGTAGTAACTCTTCCTTTTTTCTCTCCTGCTGTCTCACCTGGTGAGGCATTCAGCATCCGGGTTTTGGCTGTAACCATGCGGCCAGGGCTTCTTCTGCCTGGTGGTACTGAGAAGAAGGTGAGAAGCAGCATAGCCATAGTGGGCGGTGTGGGAAGAAGGAAGAGGAGATGCCCGTTTCTAAGCATGGAATTTCGTTATTATTTCAAAAGGAAAGGCTTGCAGTTGAAAGAAAGGGGAATGCGGGAGACTGGCTGCCCTTTGACCAGTCTAACCAGCACTGCCTTTTTTCTTTCTTTCTTTCTTTTGG